AGGTAAGTCCGCAGAGACTCCTCCTGGATTTTCCTAAACGACAATATCAGCAACATCATCATCAGCAGCAACATCATCATCATCAGCAACATCATCATCAGCATCATCATCATCAGCAACATCATCATCAGCAGCATGTACATGCGTGGCAGTCCACTCACTCATCCACCCACCCACCCACTCACCCACACACTTACCCACCCACATACACACTCACCCACCCACCCCAACACACACTCAACAAGCCACACACCCACCCACACACCCACCCACCCATCCACTCGCTCACCCAGTCAAGCACTAGCTAACTCACCCACCCACCCAAACATCCACCCACCCACACACCCACATACTCAACCAGCCACACACACACACCCACACACCCACCCACCCACTCACCCACACACTCCCCCACCCTCACCCACCCACACTCACCCACCCTCATCCACCCATACTCACCCACTCTCATCCACCCACTCTCATCCACCCACACTCACCCACCCTCATCCACCCATACTCACCCACCACCCATCCCCTTACCCACCACCTACCCCCTCACCCACCCACCCATCCCTCACCCACCACCCACCCACCCACACCCCCCCACCCACACCCACCCACCCCCTCACCCACCCACCCACACACTCACCCACCCACCCACTCACCCACTCACCCACCCACTCACCCACCCACCCACCCACTCACCCCCTCACCCACCCCCTCACCCACCCACCCACCCACACCCTCACCCCCTCACCCACCCACCCACCCCCTCACCCACCCACCCACCCCCTCACCCACCCACCCACTCACCCACCCACCCCCCCCCCCCACCCCCCCCCCCACCCCCACCCCCCCCCCCACCCCCCCCCCCACTCACCGGACGAGCATGCAGCGCACCTTCTCCACCTTGGGGAAGAGATCCCACACCTTGGCGTTCATCTTGTCGTTGAGGATGTAGGCACGGCACGCCTTCCAGTCGCCCATCTTCATGGCCTTCGAAGCCGCCACCACGTGCTCCCTCATGCTCTCGGGGGGGCCTGTGTGTGTGTGTGGTGGGGGGAGGTGGTGGGGGGGAAGGTGGGGGGAAGTGGGGGGGGGAGGTGGGGGGGGAGAGGGGTTAAGGTCACGGGAGTCGGATGTCAAGACGGTTGGGTCGATGGGTCGGGCCGCCGTTGGTTTGGTGGTGGGTGGGCGAGTGGGTGGGTGGGTGAATGGGTGGGTGAGCGAGTGGGTGGGTGGATAGGTGGGTGAGTGGGTGAGTGGGTGAGCGGGTGGGTGGGTGAGCGAGTGGGTGGGTGGATAGGTGGGTGAGTGAGTGGGTGGGTGAGTGGGCAGGTGGGTGAGCAAGTGGGTGAGCGAGCGGGTGGGTGGATAGGTGGGTGAGTGAGTGGGCAGGTGGGTGGATAGGTGGGTGAGTGAGCGGGTGGGTGAGTGAGTGGGTGAGTGGGCAGGTGGGTGAGCAAGTGGGTGAGTGAGCGGGTGGGTGGGTGGATAGGTGGGTGAGTGGGTGGGTGAGTGGGCAGGTGGGTGAGCGAGCGGGTGGGTGGATAGTTGGGTGGGTGAGCGGGCGGGTGGGTGGATAGGTGGGTGAGTGAGCGGGTGGGTGGATAGGTGGGTGAGGGAGTGGGTGAGTGAGCGGGTGGGTGGATAGGTGGGTGAGTGAGTGGGTGAGTGAGCGGGTGGGTGGATAGGTGGGTGAGTGAGTGGGTGGGTGGGCAGGTGGGTGAGTGAGCGGGTGGGTGGATAGGTGGGTGGGTGAGTGAGTGGGTGAGTGAGCGGGTTGGTGGATAGGTGGGTGAGTGAGCGGGCGGGTGGGTGGATAGGTGGGTGAGTGAGCGGGTGAGTGAGCGGGTGGGTGGATAGTTGGGTGAGCGAGCGGGTGGGTGGGTGGATAGGTGGGTGAGTGAGTGGGTGAGTGAGCGGGTGGGTGGATAGGTGGGTGAGTGAGCGGGTGGGTGGATAGGTGGGTGAGTGAGCGGGTGGGTGGATAGGTGGGTGAGTGAGCGGGTGGGTGGGTGGATAGGTGGGTGAGTAAGTGGGTGAGTGAGCGGGTGAGTGAGCGGGTGGGTATATAGGTGGGTGAGTGAGTGGGTGAGTGAGCGGGTGAGTGAGCGGGTGGGTAGATAGGTGGGTGAGTGAGCGGGTGGGTGGGCAGATAGGTGGGTGAGTGAGTGGGTGAGTGAGCGGGTGGGTGGATAGGTGGGTGGGTGAGTGAGTGAGTGGGTGAGTGAGCGGGTGGGTGGATAGGTGGGTAAGTGAGTGGGTGAGTGAGCGGGTGGGTGGATAGGTGGGTGAGTGAGCGGGCGGGTGGGCAGATAGGTGGGTGAGTGAGTGGGTGAGTGAGCGGGTGGGTGGATAGGTGGGTGGGTGAGTGAGTGGGTGAGTGAGCGGGTGGGTGGATAGGTGGGTGAGCGAGCGGGTGGGTGGATAGGTGGGTGAGTGAGTGGGTGAGTGAGCGGGTGGGTGGATAGGTGGGTGAGTGAGTGGGTGGGTGGGTGGATAGGTGGGTGAGTGAGTGGGTGGGTGGGTGGATAGGTGGGTGAGTGAGCGGGTGGGTAGATAGGCGGGTGAGTGAGCGGGTGGGTGGGTGGATAGGTGGGTGAGTGAGCGGGTGGGTGTGAGTGAGTGAGTAAGCGGGTGGGTGGATAGGTGGGTGAGCGAGCGGGTGAGTGAGCGGGTGAGTGAGTGGGTGGGTGAGCGGGTGGGTGAGCGGGTGGGTGGATAGGTGAGTGAGCGAGCGGGTGGGTGGGTGGGTGGATAGGTGGGTGAGTGAGTAGCGGGTGGGTGGGTAGGTGGGTGAGTGGATAGTTGGGTGAGTGAGCGGGTGGGTGGGTGGATAGGTGGGTGAGTGAGCGAGCGGGTGGGTGAGTGGATAGTTGGGTGAGTGAGCGGGTGGGTGGGTGGATAGGTGGGTGAGTGAGCGGGTGAGTGAGCGGGCGGGTGGACAGGCGGACGAGCGGGACGGAGCGGGACGGAGCTCACCCAGCAGCGGCTGACGCTCGCTCACGCGCAGCTGGTGGTGGAACTGCTTGCTGATCATTCGCCGGCGGGCGTCAAACTCGTGCGCGGCCATGTACGGCACTTCGAGCAGCATGGCGGCCACGAGGTAGACGCACTCAAGCAGCTCAAGGTTGACGTGCATGTGGAAGGGCATCTGACGGCGCTTCTCCACCTTCTCCTGTTCCTGGTTACGCTCGGCCATGTTGCGAAGTAGCAGGCCCTGGGGTGGGGGTGGGGGGGGGGTGGGTGGGGGGGAGGGGTGGGAGGGAGGTGGTGGTGGGGGGAGATTGGGGAGAGAGATTTCTTAGGAGTTTGGGAGAGAGAGTGGGAGATGGGGGAGAGAGATGGGGGAGAGAGATGGAGAGAGAATGGTGAGATGGGGAGAGAGATGGGGGAGAGAGATGGGGGAGAGAGATGGAGAGAGAGATGGGGGAGAGAGATGGGGAGAGAGATGGGGGAGAGAGATGGGGTAGAGAGATGGGAGAGAGAGATGGGGAGAGAGATGGGGGAGATGGGGTAGAGAGATGGGGGAGAGAGATGGGGGAGAGAGAGAGTGGGAGATGGGGTAGAGAGATGGGGGAGAGAGATGGGGGAGAGAGATGGGGAGAGAGATGGGGGAGAGAGAGAGTGGGAGATGGGGTAGAGAGATGGAGAGAGAATGGGGAGATGGGGTAGAGAGATGGGGGAGAGAGATGGGGGAGAGAGATGGGGAGAGAGATGGGGGAGAGAGATGGGAGAGAGAGATGGGGGAGAGAGATGGGGAGAGAGATGGGGGAGAGAGATGGGGTAGAGAGATGGGAGAGAGAGATGGGGAGAGAGATGGGGGAGAGAGATGGGGGAGAGAGATGGGAGAGAGAGATGGGGGAGAGAGATGGGGTAGAGAGATGGAGAGAGAGATGGGGTAGAGAGATGGGGGAGAGAGATGGGGGAGAGAGAGAGTGGGAGATGGGGTAGAGAGATGGGGGAGAGAGATGGGGGAGAGAGATGGGGAGAGAGATGGGGGAGAGAGAGAGTGGGAGATGGGGTAGAGAGATGGAGAGAGATTGGGGAGATGGGGTAGAGAGATGGGGGAGAGAGATGGGGGAGAGAGATGGGGGAGAGAGATGGGGGAGAGAGATGGGGGAGAGAGATGAGGGAGAGAGATGGGGAGAGAATGGGGAGATGGGGTAGAGAGATGGGGAGAGAGATGGGGGAGAGAGATGGGGGAGAGAGATGGGGGAGAGAGATGAGGGAGAGAGATGGGAGAGAGAGATGAGGGAGAGAGATGGGAGAGAGAGATGGGGGAGAGAGAGTGGGAGATGGGGTAGAGAGATGGAGAGAGAATGGGGAGATGGGGTAGAGAGATGGGGGAGAGAGATGGGAGAGAGAGATGGGGAGAGAGATGGGGTAGAGAGATGGGGGAGAGAGATGGGGGAGAGAGATGGGGGAGAGAGATGGGGGAGAGAGATGAGGGAGAGAGATGGGAGAGAGAGATGAGGGAGAGAGATGGGGGAGAGAGAGATGGGGGAGATAGATGGGGAGAGAGATGGGGGAGAGAGATGGGGGAGAGAGATGGGGGAGAGATGGGGGAGAGAGATGGGGGAGAGAGATGGGGGAGAGAGATGGGGGAGAGAGATGGGGGAGAGAGATGGGAGAGAGAGATGGGAGAGAGAGATGGGAGAGAGAGATGGGGGAGAGAGATGGGGAGAGAGATGGGGGAGAGAGATGGGGGAGAGAGATGGGGGAGAGAGATGAGGGAGAGAGATGGGGTAGAGAGATGGGAGAGAGAGATGGGGGAGAGAGAGAGTGGGAGATGGGGTAGAGAGATGGAGAGAGAATGGGGAGATGGGGTAGAGAGATGGGGTAGAGAGATGGGGAGAGAGATGGGGGAGAGAGATGGGGGAGAGAGATGGGGGAGAGAGATGGGGGAGAGAAATGGGGGAGAGAGATGAGGGAGAGAGATGGGAGAGAGAGATGAGGGAGAGAGATGGGAGAGAGAGATGGGGGAGAGAGATGGGGGAGAGAGATGGGGAGAGAGATGGGGGAGAGAGATGGGGGAGAGAGATGGGGGGAGAGATGGGGGAGAGAGATGGGAGAGAGATGGGGGAGAGAGATGGGGAGAGAGATGGGGGAGAGAGATGGGGGAGAGAGATGGGGGAGAGAGATGGGGGAGAGAGATGGGGGAGAGAGATGGGGGGAGAGATGGGAGAGAGATGGGGGAGAGAGATGGGGGAGAGAGATGGGGAGAGAGATGGGGGAGATAGATGGGGGAGAGAGATGGGGGAGAGAGATGGGGGAGAGAGATGGGGGAGAGAGATGGGGAGAGAGATGGGGGAGAGAGATGGGGGAGAGAGATGGGGGGAGAGATGGGGGAGAGAGATGGGGTAGAGAGATGGAGAGGAATGGAGAGATGAGGTAGAGAGATGAGGGTAGAGAGATGGAGAGAGAATGGGGAGATGGGTAGAGAGATGAGGAGAGAGATGGGGAGAGAGATGAGGGAGAGAGATGAGGGAGAGAGATGAGAGAGAGATGAGAGAGATGAGGGAGAGAGATGAGAGAGATGAGGGAGAGAGATGAGGGAGAGAGATGAGGGAGAGAGATGAGAGAGATGAGGGAGAGAGATGAGAGAGAGATGGGGAGAGAGATGAGGGAGAGAGATGAGGGAGAGAGATGAGGGAGAGAGATGAGGGAGAGATGAGGGAGAGAGATGAGGGAGAGAGATGAGGGATAGAGATGAGGGAGAGAGATGAGGGAGAGATGAGGGAGAGAGATGAGGGAGAGATGAGGGAGAGAGATGAGGGAGAGAGATGAGGGAGAGATGAGGAGTAGGTAGATGGGTAGAGAGATGAGGGTAGAGAGATGAGAGAGAAGGAAGATGAGGGTAGAGAGATGGGGGAGAGAGATGGGGGAGAGAGATGGGGGAGAGAGATGGAGAGAGAGATGGGGAGAGAGATGGGGGAGAGAGATGGGAGAGAGATGGGAGAGAGATGGGGGAGATGGGGTAGAGAGATGGGGGAGAGAGATGAGGGAGAGAGATGGGGGAGAGAGATGGGGAGAGAGATGGGGGAGAGAGATGGGGGAGAGAGATGGGGGAGAGAGATGAGGGAGAGAGATGGGGGAGAGAGATGGGGAGAGATGGGGGAGAGAGATGGGGAGAGAGATGGGGGAGAGAGATGGGAGAGAGATGGGGAGAGAGATGGGGGAGAGATGGGGAGAGAGATGGGGGAGATGGGGTAGAGAGATGGGGTAGAGAGATGGGGTAGAGAGATGGGGGAGAGAGATGGGGGAGAGAGATGGGGGAGAGAGATGGGGGAGAGAGATGTGGAGAGAGATGAGGGAGAGAGATGGGGGAGAGACATGGGGAGAGAGATGGGGGAGAGAGATGGGGGAGAGAGATGGGGAGAGAGATGGGGGAGAGAGATGGGGGAAAGAGATGGGGAGAGACATGGGGAGAGAGATGGGGGAGAGAGATTGGGGAGAGATGGGGGAGATGGGGTAGAGAGATGGGGTAGAGAGATGGGGTAGAGAGATGGGGGAGAGAGATGGGGGAGAGAGATGGGGGAGAGAGATGGGGGAGAGAGATGTGGAGAGAGATGAGGGAGAGAGATGGGGAGAGAGATGGGGGAGAGACATGGGGAGAGAGATGGGGGAGAGAGATGGGGGAAAGAGATGGGGAGAGACATGGGGAGAGAGATGGGGGAGAGAGATTGGGGAGAGAGATTGGGGAGAGAGATGGGGGAGAAAGATGGGGGAGAAAGATGGAGGAGAGAGATGGGGAGAGATGGGGGAGAGAGGTGAGTAAGTGGGTGAGCGAGTGGGTGGGTAGGTGAGCAAGTAGGCGACTATGCCATTGGGTGAGCGAGTGAGTGGGTGAGTGAGCGAGCGCGAGGGTGAGTGAGCGAGAGGGTGAGTGAGCGAGCGAGCGGGTGAGTGAGCGAGCGAGAGGGTGAGTGAGTGAGCGAGTGGGTGAGTGAGCGAGCGAGCAGGTGAGTGAGCGAGCGAGAGGGTGACTGAGCGAGAGAGAGGGTGAGTGAGCGAGCGAGAGGGTGAGTGAGCGAGTGGGTGAGTGAGCGACAGGGTGAGTGAGAGGGCGAGAGGCTGAGCGAGTGGGTGAGCGAGAGGGCGAGTGAGCGAGAGGGTGAGTGAGCGAGAGGGTGAGTGAGTGAGCGAGAGGGTGAGTGAGCGAGAGGGTGAGTGAGTGAGCGAGAGGGTGAGTGAGTGAGCGAGAGGGTGAGTGAGGGAGTGGGTGAACGAGTGATTAAGCGATTGGGTTAGTGAGTGAATGAGCGAGAGGGTGAGTGAGTGAGTGAGCGAGAGGGTGAGTGAGCGAGTGGGTGAGCGACTGAGCGAGTGGGTGAGCGAGAGGGTGAGTGAGTGAGTGAGCGAGAGGGTGAGTGAGCGAGTGGGTGAGCGACTGAGCGAGTGGGTGAGCGACTGAGCGAGTGGGTGAGCGAGTGGGTGAGCGAGAGGGCGAGCGAGCGAGAGGGTGAGTGAGTGAGTGAGCGAGCGCTGGTGCCAGGCTATGTGTACCTGTCCCAGCAGCTCCTTGGCGCGCCCGCTGGACTGGATGTCCAGCAGTGCATTGTGAGCATCCTTGATCATTCCCTGGCGGAAGGCGCATATGCCCAACTGCACCATCGTACGGTTATACAGGATCTGTGTGCGCGAGGGGGGCGAGGGGACACAGCAGCATCATCGTCATCACCATCATCAGCAACATCGTCGTCAGCAGCATCATCAGCAACATCGTCGTCAGCAGCATCATCAGCATTAGGAGAGTCAACACCCAACTCACTCACCCATCCACTCACTCACTCACCAACCCACCCATCCACTCATCTTCCACCCAACTCACTCACCTGTCCACTCACTCACCAATCCACTCACCTTCCACCCAACTCACTCACCCATCCACTCACTCACCAACCTACCCATCCAATCACCTTACACCCAACTCACTCACCCACTCACTCACCAACCCACCCATCCAATCACTTTCCATCCAACTCACTCACCCATCCACTCACTCACTCACCAACCCACCCATCCACTCACCTTCCACCCAACTCACTCACCCATCCACTCACTCACTCACCAACCCACCCATCCACTCACCTTCCATCCAACTTACTCACCCATACACTCACTCACTCACCAACCCACCCACCTATCCACTCACCTTCCACCCAACTTACTCACCCATCCACTCACTCACTCACTCACCAACCCACCCATCCACTCATCTTCCACCCAACTCACTCACCCATCCACTCACTCACTCACCAACCCACCCATCCACTCATCTTCCACCCAACTCACTCACCTGTCCACTCACTCACCAATCCACTCACCTTCCACCCAACTCACCCATCCACTCACTCACCAACCCACCCACCTATCTACTCACCTTCCACCAAACTCACTCACCCATCCACTCACTCACTCACCAACCCACCCATCTACTCCCCGTCCACCCAACTCACTCACCCATCCACTCACTCACTCACCAACCCACCCATCTACTCACCTTCCACCCAACTCACTCACCCATCCACTTACTCATTCACCAACCCACCCACCTATCCACTCACCATCCACCAAACTCACTCACCCATCCACTCCCTCACTCACCAACCCACCCACCTATCCACTCACCTTCCACCCAACTCACTCACCCATCCACTCACTCACCAACCCACCCATCCACTCCCCGTCCACCCAACTTACTCACCTACTCACTCACTCACTCACCAACCCACCCATCACCTACCCCCTCACCAACACCCCGCTCACCTGCACGAGCAGGTCTGCGTGCTGGATGTTACCCTGCAGATGGCTCATGAGTGAGGTCGTGGGCCTGGAACCAGCTCACTCACTCACTCACCTACTCACTCACACAACTCACTCACCTACCCACTCACTCACTCACTAACTCACTCACACAACTCACCCACTCACTCACCCACTCACCCACACAACTCACTCACTTACTCACCCACTCACCTACCTACTCACCTACTGACCCACTCACCCACTCACTCACCCACTCACCTACCCACTCACTCACTCACTCACCCACTCACTCACTCACCTACTCACTCACTCACCCACTCACTCACCTACTCACCCACTCACTCACTCACCTACCCACTCACTCACCCACTCACTCACTCACTCACCTACTCACTCACTCACTCACCCACTCACTCACCAACTCACCCACTCAACCACCCACTCACCCACTCAACCACCCACTCAACCACCCACTCAACCACCCACTCACCTACCTACTCGCCTAACCACTCACTCACCCACTCACTCACTCACTCACCCACTCACTCACTCACCCACCCACTCACCCACCCCCTCACCTACCCCCTCACTCACCACCCCGCTCACCTGCACGGGTGGGTCTGCGTGCTGGATGTTGTCCTGCAGGTGGCTCATGAGCATGAGGTCTCGTGCCTGGAACCAGCTCACTCACTCACTCACCTACTCACTCACTCACTCACCTACTCACTCACTCACCTACTCACCTACTCACTCACCTACTCACTCACTCACTCAACCACCCACTCACTCACTCAACCACTCACCCACTCACCCACCCCCTCACTCACCTACCCACCCACTCACCACCCCGCTCACCTGCACGGGTGGGTCTGCGTGCTGGATGTTGTCCTGCAGGTGGCTCATGAGCATGAGGTCTCGTGCCTGGAACCAGCTCACTCACTCACTCACCTACTCACTCACTCACTCACCTACTCACTCACTCACCTACTCACCTACTCACTCACCTACTCACCTACTCACTCACCTACTCACCCACCCACCTACCCCGCCACCAACACCTCACCCACCCACCCCCTCACTCACCACCCCGCTCACCTGCACGGGCGGGTCTGCGTGCTGGATGTTGTCCTGCAGGTGGCTCATGAGCATGAGGTCTCGTGCCTGGAACCAGCTCACTCACTCACTCACCTACTCACCTACTCACTCACCCACTCACTCACTCACCTACTCACTCACCTACTCACCTACTCACTCACCTACTCACTCACTCACCTACTCACTCACCTACTCACTCACCTACTCACCCACCCACCCACCTACTCACTCACCTACTCACTCACTCACTCACCCCCTCACCCACCCACTCACTCACTCACCAACACCCCGCTCACCCACCTGCACGGGTGGGTCTGCGTGCTGGATGTTGTCCTGCAGGTGGCTCATGAGCATGAGGTCTCGTGCCTGGAACCAGCTCACTCACTCACTCACCTACTCACCTACTCACTCACCCACTCACTCACTCACCTACTCACTCACTCACCTACTCACTCACTCACTCACCAACACCCCGCTCACCCACTCACTCACCCACCCACCCACTCACTCACTCACTCAACCAACCACTCACTCACCCCCTCACCCACTCACTCACTCACCACCCCACTCACCTGCACGGGTGGGTCTGCGTGCTGGATGTTGTCCTGCAGGTGGCTCATGAGCATGAGGTCTCGTGCCTGGAACCAGCTCACTCACTCACTCACCTACTCACCTACTCACTCACCCACCCACTCACTCACTCACCTACTCACTCACCTACTCACCTACTCACTCACTCACCCACTCACTCACTCACCCACTCACTCACTCAACCACCCACTCACTCAACCACCCACTCACTCAACCACCCACTCACTCAACCACCCACTCACTCACCCCCTCACCCACCCACTCACTCACTCACCACCCCACTCACCTGCACGGGCGGGTCTGCGTGCTGGATGTTGTCCTGCAGGTGGCTCATGAGCATGAGGTCTCGTGCCTGGAACCAGCTCACTCACTCACTCACCTACTCACCTACTCACTCACCCACCCACTCACTCACTCACCTACTCACTCACCTACTCACCTACTCACTCACTCACCCACTCACTCACTCACCCACTCACTCACCCACTCACTCACTCAACCACCCACTCACTCAACCACCCACTCACTCAACCACCCACTCACTCAACCACCCACTCACTCACCCCCTCACCCACCCACTCACTCACTCACCACCCCACTCACCTGCACGGGTGGGTCTGCATGCTGGATGTTGTCCTGCAGGTGGCTCATGAGCATGAGGTCTCGTGCCTGGAACCAGCGGTCGTGCAGCGCGTGGTGGTAGATGTGGCACAGGATGGCGCAGGTCCGGATGCGATCGCTTCGATCCTTGGCGTAGATGAACTTGCAGAGGCGGTCCATCAGCTCCGAGCTGGAGAGGCCTTCGTCGCGGTCCTCCATCACCGCAGGCCCGACACCTCCCTGCCGATTGTCGGGGTCCGTGGTCGTCGCCGGTGCGGTGGTGGCGGTGGTGGCGGTGGTGGTGGTGGTGGCGGTGGTGGTGGCGGTGGTGGTGGATGAACGGAGTTCGGTGGTGGCTTGGTCTCGTTCGGACTGGTGGTGATGGTGGTGTGGGCGGGGGTGGGGTGAGGGTGGTGGTGGTGAGGTGAGTGAGGGTGGTGGTGAGTGAGTGAGTGAGTGTGGTGGTGGTGAGTGAGTGAGTGAGGGTGGTGATGGTGAGGGTTGTGGTGAGTGAGTGAGGGTGGTGGTGGTGAGTGAGGGTGGTGGTGGTGAGGTGGTGAGTGAGGGTGGTGGTGAGTGAAGGTGGTGGTGAGTGAGGGTGGTGGTGGTGAGTGAGTGAAGGTGGTGGTGGTGAGTGAGGGTGGTGGTGGTGTGGTGAGTGAGGGTGGTGAGTGAGGGTGGTGGTGAGTGAGCGAGGGTGGTGGTGAGTGAGGGTGGTGGTGAGGTCAGTGAGGGTGGTGGTGGTGAGTGAAAGTGGTGGTGAGGGTGGTGGTGAGTGAGTGAGGGTGGTGGTGGTGAGTGAGTGAGGGTGGAGGTGGTGAGTGAGTAAGGGTGGTGAGGGTGGTGGTGGTGAGTGAGTGAGGGTGGTGAGTGAGGGTGGTGGTGGTGGTGAGGTGAGTGAGGGTGGTGTGAGTGAGGGTGGTGGAGGTGAGATGGTGAGTGAGGGTGGTGGTGGTGAGATGAGTGAGGTGGTGGTGAGGAGGTGAGTGAGGGTGGTAGTGGTGGGTGAGGTGGTGAGTGGGGAGGGAAGGTGGACAGTGTGGTGGTGAGGAGTGATTGTAAGAGGGTGGGTGAGTGATTGGTGAGCAGACACACAAAGTCAGGTACAAGCGCAAAGGCAACCACACAGACAAAGCTCCCCCAGGTAGCCCACACAGTGGCTGTAGGGGCAAGTGCTGTTAGCTAGTAGCGAGTAGCAGCACCCACACAAAAACAACCGCCATTCGCCACTAAGTGGCGGTGACGTCACCACGACGCTTGTGCCAGGCTATGTGCACCTTGAGGCCACGTGAAGTGTCGAACGCCCGCTGGTAGGAGGTCACGGGGCAGACCCAGCAGGTGCCACGGGTCGACTGACTGAGATGGCTGAGATGACTGGCTGATGCACCACCTGTGCCCCCTACTGTGCCAACCTGCTGTGCTTTAGCCACCCGGCGCTCCGCTCGTTGTTGTGAGCGTCGCTCCTCCGCCCTCCGTTGTTGTTGGAGGGCGACTACCTCCAACTGCCCAGTAGCGTCCTTCACGAGCCTCCTCCACAGAGGCCGATCTTGACACCGCTGGTACCAGTCATCGGCAAATCCACTCAGCTCCACGTCCTCCTGTACCACATCACTCCATCTCTTCTCTAGCCCGTGCCGTGCCCGTTTAGCCCCCTCGATCCGGCCGAACAAAAGCTGTTTCGGCATGCGGTGGCTGGGCATGCGGGCTACATGACCCAGCCAACGCAGCCTTGCCTGCCGGAGGAACTCACCGTTGGATTTGTGAGCTCCTCACACAATCCAGCCTGCTTAAACCCAGGATGGATCGTAGGCAGGCCAGCCTAAATGTTGCTAACCGGCGAAGATGTTCCATTAGGGGGGTCCACGTTTCGCAAGCGTAGAGAAGGGAGGGAATGACCGTGGCCGAGAAGACCTGAAGCTTCGTGCGGAGCGACAGACCAGGTAGCTTCCACACAGCGTTACGCAATCGATGAAAAGATATTGCCGCTCGACTGATCCGGAGTGAGACCTCTGCTGTTAAACCGGAGCCGGTCATGAGCACACTGCCCAGGTATGGGAAACTCTCCACTCTCTCCACAACTGCCCCATCACCGATTGGGAGTTGTGGGGGTGGAGTGTCCGATGGTACAAAATACCCAGGCAGGTGCTTAGTTTTGGTGGGGCTGATGGTAAGACCCCACACCTTAGTGGCACGCTCCAGTCTCAGCAGCAGCGTCTCCAACTCCTCCTCTGAGTGAGCAGCAATTATCAGGTCGTCGGCATACATAACGTGGTTGAGCAATAGGGAGCCATCCC